GTTTCCCAAGTACCTTCTGAAAATTTTTTGTCCCAGTTCCAATTGGATGGTCAAATAGCAAAAGATGGTGAAAGGACACGGGTAAAATCTGGTCATGGGGGGCAGAAAGGGGCGTGTCCAGGCCAAGAAGAGGAGAAAAGAATAAGCGCATCCTCCTTCAGCTAGCTTAATTACAGACTATTTGACAAGAGCAACAAGGGAAAATTAGCTGCTGGAATTCTGTCTTTGCCTCCTAAAGCACCAGTCACAGGCTTTGCATTTCACTTTTGTCAGCACTGTTTGGGAGCTGTAGAATACTTCCCAGGGGGTGCTACACTGACGGGTGGGATTGGCAGCAATGGGTCCCCAAGGGGTCCTTGCTCCCAGGAGCAGGGGACAGGGATAACGGGAGGATTGGGGGTGCCAGATCTTATTCCTAGATGAGGTCCTACATGCCAGCAACCACCCAGGAGCAGGGATTTTGCAGCATTGGAGGCAGAGCAGCCCAGAGCCAGCACCTGGGAGCAGGGCTCCTGGCCACCTCTCCTGAAGTGGCTTTGCACAGAGCTGCAGATCTGCAGTGACCTCCAGTGGATGCAGCCAAAGCTGGTGGAGATGGCCAGCCCAGATGCAGATAGCCAGCCCAGATGATGGAGATGACCAGCCCAACCCCTTTGCTGCAGCCACGCAGGGGCAGGGTGGGTGCACAGCACCCTGCATCCAAGGACATCCCACAACCGGCACCCAAGGTAGTGGGACCTGTGCATCAGCAGGCAATTGAGTGGGGCAGACCCATGGCAGCTCCTCACTGCACTCAGCTGGGGTCTCGGGTGGTGATGCCACACTCCCCTAGCCTCCAGGCTTGCCATCCCAGGCAATTTTTGATTTTTTTTCTTTTTTCCTGTAAGGCACTCAATTCCCAGGACACTTCGTACAGCCCTCAGGAGAGTATATGGACACCACTCATCGCCACCAAGTGGGGCGATAAAACATTATCTGCCTGGCTATTACCCCTTTCTGCAGAGACAAAACTAACAGGAGAAAGAGTGCACAAAAATGAGGGGAATGTGTGTGAGAGGATAGAGCATCGGCAGGGAGCAGCTCTCCCTAGGAGCTAGCAGAGGTGCAGGTTCAAAGTGCTGGGGCAGATCTCTTACCACCTACTGCTCTCTCCTTCCTAGGCAGCTTGCAAAAAACCATACTGTATTTCCTAACTGCTGAGCCCCACTGAATCCCCAAACCCAAGAAAAACTCAGAGATAAGTGGTTTGCAACTCACCAAAGCAACAGTGTAAATCCCAGCACTGAACACAGAGCTCCAGCAAGAGCAAAGATCCCCTGGAGCTGCAGCCAGGCTCCAGCGCAGCTGCCAAGCCCTCACTGCAAAGCTTGTGGCTGCTTTGGGCCATACACAAGGCACATGCACATCTGCAGGGTGTTCCTGCAAGCAGAGGACATGCACACAGGTACTTATCTGGGTGACACCACATAAGAAGTCACACAGGAGCAGACTGCAAATAAGCAGTGGAGCATCCAAGGAGGAAGTAGGTGGTAGGGGGTTGCTGTTATAAGCTGCCCAGCAACCAGGAGTGGAGGGAGAAAGCTGTGAAGCTGCAACAGGACACAGCTGTGCAAACCACAGCCGCTGTACCATGAGGTTATCCCTGCAGGAAAAGCCAGAGGGAAAAGCTCAGGGTTGGGGCTGGTGAGTCAGGCAGGGAGCCTGGGAACTGGCTGAGCTGAGCCAACAGGTCACCAGGGCTGGGATAAAACCCTCCAGCACAACAAGGAAAAAAGGCCAAGTCTTCCTAAGGAACCGTTGTTCCTGCTCCATCCCTGCCAATAGTGGGAGTGTTGAAGGGATGTGATGTACAGCAGCTGTGGAAGGACCATTCCTATCCCAGTAAGGGACCCACTGGCCACAACCACACCATATTGCAAGGTGTGAAGTCTCTCCCCTCCCTTTTAAAGTAAAAAAAAGTCCTCCTGGCCTCCTTGCCCACATATTCTAGTTGTTGCGGCCTCAGAGACTGAAGGTGAAGTGAGCCATAGTGATGCTAAGAGAAACAAAAGCATCCAACCCCTTAGGTCACAGGTGGGAAAAATCAAGTGGGGTGTTCAAAGCCCTTGCAAAAGCAGGTATTGAAAAGGGCCAGGGGAACAGAGCGTGGCTGTGTTTTAAGGAGTGACCTAGGAGGTTTTATGTTTCAGCTTTTAAGAGGGGCTATTAAAACCACAAGGGGAGGGATGGAATAAGTTCATGCCAAAAGATGTAGTGGTCCCACCATCACCTTGAGTAGCGGAGATCTGCAGGGGATGATGAGGAGGGAGTCAAGTAGGAAAGAGGTAAATAAGGAGTTACTTGAGCAATTAACACCATAACTTCTATGAAGTTTCCATAGGAAGAAGCACCATTTTCCACAAGCACAGCTTTAACGGTGGCTTCAACACTCCCCAAGAGCAAAGACATGTTGGTCTCAACTCTCACCCAATCCTTCCCTCCATCCAAGTGCTCCCACTTGCATTTGCCACCACCAGTGGCACCAGGAACCACTAAAATGTCCCATCCCAGCTGTGTCCTGGGGACGCATTCATCTGCAGCTGCAGGACAGGCAGGGACAGCTCATTCAGAGGGAAGCACAGCCTTTCCCTCCGGCCCCTCCTCTCTCTTGCCTTGTCCTTGAGCGCTCCTTCCAAGCCGCTATCTCCCAGCAGGCTCCTATCACCAGGTGCTGTCCTTCAGACAGGCTATAAAGGCGCAGGGGATGTGGGGTGCTCCCAGAGGCAGCTCTGCTCCTGCGCCATGCTGCGGGCCACTGTCAAGCTGTGCTGTGGCATTGCCCATGACCACCTCCATCCCCTGCCTGGTAAGCATCATTCACCTCCTCCTTCTGCCTTGGAAAAAAAAGGGTCCTAAAGGAGATGCTAAGTCTGCATCTGATGGGATCCCCTGGGAGGTGCTCCCTTGGAAACGTCACATCTATGCATCTGTTTTCCCCCTGCGTTTTATCATGCCGTGGGTAATCTCGGTCTCAGCTGCAAATGAACTTCCAGCAGAGATGTGGGGCATCATGGTGTTTTCCTCGCACCAAAGCCAATGTGTCTCCCCCCCTAGGCTTGAAGATCACAGCCGTTGTGGCACTACAGAAGGACGGGAGAGGACTGGTGGGAAGAGGATCCCATTGCCTGCCTTCCAAAATCCCTCTGTATATTCAGAGGCTGATGGGGAAGGAGACAGGTAAGCTCAGCCCAGGCGCTCGGGTACCACATTTCCAAGCACTGCTCACAACCAACAAGGGATGGAGGGACGGGTATTAAAATACATCCCCCTCCATAGGATTTGACCCTTATTTGGGGGGACAGAGTTAATTATCTTTTCACCACTGGGCTGGTCTCCAGCTCCCTGGTGGCTTAAAAGCATTCCCCGTACTGATGGTAAACAGGGTTAGCAGGGAGACCCTGAGATCCCGGAAAGGTAAATGCTGTTGGCTCACCATACAGGCAGCCAAAGCTTTTAGTAGAGCTTGCAGGCACTTATTGGTGTTCTGTTGCATTGCTGCTGTGTCTCTAGTTCCACCATTTACCTAAAGACTTGGAAATTGGCAAATTCATCTGGTGTTTTTTGAAGCATGGCTCTGTCCAGAGGCTGCCTTTGCTATGTGGATAATACCTGAGCAATGTGCAATTTGTACTGCAGTGTTACTGGGAATTGATTTGAAAAACAGTTTCCGAAAGCTTTCCAAGCAGCCAGCACGGTTTGCTGCACCAAGAGGGGACCAGTTGGGTGGTAGAAATGGTGGTGTAAGAGCCCAGACTTTGGGTCAGCAAAGCCCTCTGCTCCCACTCTGTTTCCACTCCTATACCTGCAGTCATGGGTGCAAGCAAAGCTGGGGGGGGGGGGGACTTTTCACATTTCCCTGCCTTGCTCCTGCAGCCATGTGCCCAGAGCCCGACAGAGACATCAGCTCCAGCCGCTTCTCCGGCACAGATCTCTCCTACATCGCCCAGGGAGAAAGAGCCCTGCAGCAAGCCCTGAGCATCCTGCAGCAGCACACCAGCTGGCAGCTAGAAACCATGCTGGTAAAGCCCAACCGCCTCTTGCTTTTGCTGCTTTCTGCCAGAAAAAAAGGTCTCGGGTGATGAAATAAGCCTGGGGAGGGAAGATTTGCTTCTCTTATTCCTTCTGCTCAAAGGGAAACCACGGGCACAGAAGACATGCCATGCAAAAGCACGCACAGGCAAAGAGGGTTCCCAAGTGAGCCTTCGTTGTGCACAATCACAAGCAAATCTGCAAAACAAATAGACATGATTTAGATAGAGCAGCTTTCACCTGGAAATGAAGCCACAATTAAAAAGAGGACAGGGCTGATTTATTAGCAAGGCAGTTCAGCGTGTCGGGGTGCCTCTCGGGGTATTTGGGGTTGTTGCAGGCTCTCTGCTCTCCCAGGACGCCGGCGCCATCATGTCCAGCACCGTGGTCCCTGGGCTGGGCAAGGTGTTCCGGGCGGAGGTGGTCCTGGCTGTGCCGGTGGCACAGCTGCACCAGGAGCTGTTTGAGAGGATCGAAGAAATGCCCCAGTGGAACCCGACCCTGAGCCAGGTGAAGGTAAGGTGGGGAGGGATGCTATCCTGCCATCGCCAGGGTTGCTAGCATCCAAAAGATCTTACTAATCGAGGCTTTGGAGATCGCTGAAGGATTAAAGCTAATTCTGCACTCTTGCAAGAGCAGGATGTCACTCCAGGGAGAGCAGACGTGCTTTGCTGGCATGGCATTGAGAAACGTGTCGTTTCCAAGCTTGCTTTTCCACACGGTGCCTGTTTCCAAGTTTTTCTATGCTGGGGGACTCTGATGCTGCTCAGACTTTAATGTTAGGGGAGAAGCTGTTCAGGGGAATAAGATAGCTCAATAAAAGAGCCCAAACCAAATATATCATGCTGCAGGGAACACCCCCAGGAAGCTGATGTGTTGTCTCGGGCTTCTTTTGAGTATTTCCCTTTTTTCTCAGCTCCCAGATCTTTTGAGAATTTGCCTTATTTCTCAGCTCCCAGATCATAGCCTATCCCTCAGCAAGCTGCCAGCTTCAGAAGGCCTCCCTGAGCTCACCCGGGCTGGCTCAGGTGCTTGGTTACTGCCACTGCTTCCCTGTCCCTCCAGAAAAAAACCTAGCATCCCAGACTCCCATCCTAGATACAAAAGGCTGAAAAAAAATCACCCGCTTTCCCCCTTACTAACCTGCACGGGACTGGCATTTAACCATCACCAACTGCCAGCCCCAAGCTCCCACCTTGCTCCTGCTTCTGCTCATGATGTCACCCTGCACTGCTGTCCCCAGGGAGGCTTAACATCCCCTGGGCAGGAATCTCCGTGGAGAGGTGGCCACCAGGAGCCTAATCCCTGGAGCTCTCTGCTCTGGTAGGTGCTGCAGCGTGTGGGGACAGACACATTGGTGACACACGAAGTCACTGCTCCCAGCCCGGGCAATTTGGTAGGTCAGCGGGACTTTGTCAGTGTGCGGCACCACGGGAGGAGGGACACGGCCATCTACCTGGTGGGCACTGCCACCTACATAGAGCCCCTGCCCTCGCCGGAAGGGTGCATCAGGTAAAGCCCCCCCCACAAAGACACAGTCATGGGGTATCATGTCCCTGCGCGGTGGAGCTACCACCCCATTATGTTTGCTCTGGGATCTCCTTACACCCATTTTCCCCCCACCCCGGGGCAGAACCTAACTCCTGCTCCCTTGGCCACGGCAGGGCTGAGTCCCAGCTGAGCTGCATTGCCCTGCAGCCTCTGGCGGGGGACCCTGGCAGGACCCACTTCACCTGGCTCCTTAGCATGGATCTGAAGGCAAGTGCCACTGCAGTACTCGGGGTGGGACAGCAAGGGGTATCCATCCGGGGCTGCAAACACACCCTCCTCCCCAGGATGGGCACCCCAGCTCTTTTTGACCCAGCGGGACCAAATTTGGGGTGTTTTCTCTCCCAAAGGGCTGGATCCCTGCATCCGTCGTTAACCGTGTCCTGCCACACTCCCAAGCAGACTTCATCCAGCACCTCCGCCGGCACCTCTCTGCTATCACGTGCCCCTGAGCTGTGGGAGAACACAAGGGACACAGCCAGAGCTGGAGACCCCTTCCTGCCCCTGTGCATCGTCTCTGTGACCACCAGTGATGGGGTGAGGTGTTGCACCCCTCAAGCACCCCCAGTCATGGAGGACACCCTCCACCCAACACCGTGCTTCTGCTTCGGGGATGGAGCAGAGCATCTGCAAGCTGGGGCAACCGAGCAGCACTCAGCCTTGTGTTAGGATCTGCTTAAAAACCCTGGCCCAGACCTCGCCTACTGGTAGCAAAGGGAGCTGCTGTTGGGCATTGCCTTGACCAACCACACATGGGGGAACAGGGTGCCTGTGGATATGTACCCCGATGCTGGCATTGCTGCCCGCGGTGCCGTTTGTTCTGCAGCTTCAGCCCTGCCCTGGTTTCATCACTCTTTATTTATTTATTACCTGTTATTACCTGATCATGGCACCAGTTGTCAGTGCAAGCTCAGGGGCTCTTAGGGTACTGCGACGTGGAGGAGGATGAGGCAAACAAGAAAAAGCTGACGGAGACGAGCAGCAGTGAAACTCCAGTAGGGTTGGACAAGTGCATCCAGGGCAGCTTGCCATGCAGACCTGCAGCATGGTAAAGCCCCTGGTGGTTTTCATCCAAGGAGGATCCCCAGGAGATCACAGAATGGTTTGGGTTGAAAGGGACCTTAAAGATCATCTAGTTCCACCCCCCTGCCATGGGCAGGGACACCTCCCACTAGCCCAGGTTGCTCAAAACCTCATCCAGCCTGGCCTTGAACACCTCCAGGGATGGGGCATCCACCATCCCACACTCCCAGCCCTCAGTAGCAGCAGGGATGGCTGGGCTGCCCCGACATCATCCTGCACCCTGGGAACAAGCTGATAAAGAGGAGTGGCTGGGTTGAAATAAAACAAAGGGGTGGCACGCTATATGAAATCATTTCAACAACCACACACAGGTCACACTTGTATTCTTACCCCCTCATACACCCACCCCCCCAAATAAATCAACAGAAAGAGATTTTTGATGTGGATTTATCTTTTTTTTTTTTACATTATGTTAGAGTTAAAAAAAAAAAAAAGAGAACCCAACAAAATTAATAAATATTAAAAGTTAAAAAGCTCTGAATCTCATATGTACAAAACTTTATACATCATTGTTAACACTGGACAAGGTTACATCACAGGAATGATTCGGTGCATCTGCCTGGCCTGGGAGGACCAGATGCCCCCTCACCTCCCAAAGCCAGGACCAAATCCCTGCTGGGACGTGGGCCATCTCATTGCTATATCCCCATGCTGTGGCTTTCCACAAGAAGCGACCCAACCTCAACCCTGCAGCATCACCACCCCAGAGCATCCACACGTGGCTGAGGTGGTGGGGAGGTTATCACATCCTGCTTTAAATAATGTCACCCACCTCTCCAGGCTGGAGGTGGGGGTTAGCACCTGCAGCGCAGCCCCCTTGCCCCAAATCCCCCCCAGGGACCCCAGGTGCAAGGGGAGCTACAGCTCTCCTCCGAGGTATAGCAAGGAACCGCCACAGCTATCCTTAATGCAATAAAGCGCTAATGCCCAGGGCAGCACCAAAGGGAGGGCTGCAGCCGAAAACCGGGGAGGAAGGAGCGAGTACGCATGCACACACGCACATACTGCACCCTGGAGACATTACAGCCCAATTTTGAAAGGGGGTGCCCCAAGAGATGCTCCTCAGAGAGTAAACAAAGCGTTATCTTTGGCACAAGAAATAAATGCTGGCACTCCCATGGAGGGCGGTGCTGGCAAGGGGCACGGTGGTGGTAGCAGCAGCCCGAGGGGTGAACCCCACCCTGGAACACCCCCAGCATCTCGCCAATCCTGAGAGTACCAAGACCTGCCTCGGAGGTGATCCAGGGGTGGGAGGGTGCACGAGCCACCCTCTTAGCATCTCTTCAGTCCTTTCTGTACCAGTGGGTAGTTCCAGGGGAGCACAGCCAGCAAGCCCAGGACCCCTGAATTACTTCCCAAGCACAGCCCCTGGAGATGCCCCATCCTGCTCATCGCACCCCCAGGGAAGCAGCACCATTGGGGACACTCCTCGGGGACATGGCAGGCTGCCTGTCCTGGCTCTGGGGATGTTTCAAGGGCTGAAACTCCTCCATACGGCCTCTGTGCCTGCCACCAAGCAAGGTGCATGCAGCCCTGCACTTTTAAAGTGCTGTGCATATGTTTAGTACTTGGCACAATATTTTTTTAATGGTGTTAATTATCCCCCTTGCACTCCCTCCCATGCGACAAAATAGATGCAGATAAATTTTCCTCTCTCCTCTCTTTGTAACTGCCCCTAAAAGCCCTTCCCGGCTTCCCAGTCATCCCCATTTTGCTCCAAAAGGCGTTGATGCCCCACAGGCAGTGGGGACAAGGGTGCAGGGGTCACACTGGTGGTCCTGGAGAGGCTGGGCATCGGTATCAATTCAGGACTGGCTAAAAAAGTCATCGCTGGGTGACAGGCATTTTTTAAAGTTATTTTTGGTCTTTGACCTTCTTATTGCTGAGGTTAGAGTTGCCTGGACCATCTCCTGCCTCTCCTGCAATGCGGGACAGAAGCTGGTCTACGGTTTTCACACTCCATCCCCCCCTTCCCAGACACTTTTCCCAAACTCTACCGCAACAGGGACAGCCCAGGGCAGCATTTTGGGCATTTCCCAATATCTCACTCCCTCTTTGCCACCTCCCTCCAGTTGCTTACCCCCAGATTCCCAGCATCTCCCCACTGCTACCTCCAAGCTGGACCACCCAGCCAGGAGCCTCCATTGCCTTGGGGCAGGGGAAAGGAAAAAGCAACATTAAAGTCCCCCACCCCCCAAATATTTTAGCACCTTGGAAAGATACAGCCCATCGCGGGTTAGCTGTAGCCAACCCGCTGTTGCTTTTTTTTGCTCCTTTTCACCCTTTTTTCTGTGGCGCTGACAAAATAAACCATGCCACAGCTGGGAGGCTGGGGGTTCATGAGAAAAAAAGTTATTTTCCCAGGAATGTCTGGGTGACCTGGGTCATTTCCAAACCCAGCAGTGCCACCCATGAAAACCATCACTGGAAGTTGGGGGGGGAAGAGAGGAAAAGAGGGGGAAGAGGAGAGGGAGGAAGGCAAAAAAGGCTTTTTCCCTGCCCCACAGCAAGGTGGTCCCCAGTAGGTTACCTGGCTCCTCGGCCCCTGCTCTGCCCATTGGGGGCTGGCAGCCCTCCAAGGAAAGCATCACTGCCGGGCATCCCTCCACTGGGCTGTGATGCTGGGCTGGGGTCCCCCCCCACTCCCCCCTGGGCAGGGGCAGTGGG